TGCTCGCGCCGATGTACAGCGGCTGGGGCTGATTTTTTTTTTTTTTTTTTGCCACAGACACAGCTGGATCGTGGCAGCCGAGCGCTTATTTCTGGGGAACAAATGTGCGAAGGGTTGGGTTTCAGGTTAGGCAAAGCTGTTGCTGGAGATCTTGCCTAAGGTACCTGCTGAAGCCCGGAGAAAGTGTGCAGCGCGAGTGTGTGCTCGGCGTGCAGGAGTTGTGCAGGAGTTACTTGCTGTTCTCGCTTGTAGCGAGCCCTGACATCGCACGTTTGGGGAGCCTGCCCTCCCTGGAGATAGTATATAACCTTTCACATCCAGAGTATTTATTTGGTGTAAGAGCGAAGCCTTGATAACAAGCTCAAAACCGTAGCCAAATATCTATTTTGTTAGAGAATAGCAGGCGGATTGTTTCCAAGAATAACAATGCGTCTTTGACATACCCAGAACGAAAGCTGTTACTATAACCGGCTTACTCATGAGTAGGTGACCGAAATAAATTTACTTCCTCACCAAAACAATTAGTCGCTCGAATTCCATATTTTCAGTCTGGTTTAGAATGAAAATATCTGTGGGAATATTTTCAAAGAAGGTGAAACTGCGACTTCAATAAATATTGACTCTTCCGAATTCTTGTTTACATTATTCCTTTAAAAAAAAAAGAAAAAAAGGAGACAACCCGGAGCAGAACAGTTAATAATTTGAGACGAATTCTTTCTGTCCTTTCACTGTCTGCATTCAGCACGCTGCTCTCTGGCGTGGAAGGTCTGCTCAAAAGACCATTCATTTTAAATCCGGGCACAAATCACATTTTACACGTGTTTATTTAACCGCGCCAGGACAGAGCGAGCAAACCCCGCCAACCACCCCGTGGCTAAGCAGAGCCTCGGTGCCGGGCAAGTGCCCGCTTTCACCAAATCCTGAACTTGGGGCAAAACCGGGAGGATCGCCCCGGCAGTGACCGTAGGAAGGGAGCGCTCCCGCCCGCGGGGGCAGGGACAGCCTCGGGGGCTGCATCGTTCCCGGGAACAAAGGAGGGAATACAGTCGGTACATTCCATAACGTTTACATTTTCCCGCGATTTTTTCTGAATTTTCCCTTAGAAGTAGTGACCTGGGCAAAGCACCCCGCTATCTAAAAGACACTGTTATAGACCTTTTAGAAAAACTAAGTCCAAGGCCGAGGTGAACTTCAGGTCACCGCGTCTAACAAATATGAAAATGTCGCCTGGTGAAGGGCACGCCTTGTTATTTAACAAAGACTGTCAATGTGTAAGATTAATAAGAAACAAAATGCGCACGGTGTCACTTTTCGGTCACTTTGAAACTTGGGACAGCCTCGCATTCAAGAGGGGAAAGCTGGAGCTAAATATATTCAAAATGGTTCAAATCAAATTCCAACCAGGCTACTAGTGAGATTCTTCCTCCTACCGCTCTCGGTGGAGGGTGCCCGGGCACGGCGAAAGGTTGACTTGAATTATTACTATTACTATTACTATTACTATTACTATTACTATTACTATTACTATTACTATTCTTGTTGTTATTATTGTTTTCTCTTTCGGGGTAATTAACTTTTTAGCCGCGCAAGGGGGGGTAGCAGGAGTGCTTGCCTGTCTCACGAGAAAGAGGGGGCTCCCCCTTTCCCCCCGGTTTGGGTATGTGTGAGGTTGGCTCTTCTGGGTGCGTGGAAATTAACTCTCCCCCTCTCAGCCTAATTCCGGCGGGGTTTCCATCCCCTCCTCGGCCAGCCTCGGCCGGGAAACTCTCGCTCCTTTATGAACCGATTAAAGCCTCTCTCTCCAGCGAAATCGAGCCTTT